TATGCGTTTCCACCGATGGCGCCTTCAACTGATTCTTTGATGATGTTGCTCACCTCATCCACGACGAAGGATGTTTCTTCTGCTGACTGATATTCGTCCATTTGGAAGGCTAATCCTAACAGGTACTGGCAAAATGGCTACAGCACAACACCTAATAGCTTTTCAATATGGAGGATTATGTGATGACCAAGGGACTTAGCAACCGTCAAATATGCTCGCCCCAGTACTCGCTCTATCAGCGTGGGAACGCCTGTTGATTAACATGTTCCGCACGAAAGAACGTGGAATTAAATAATCAGCACGTTTCTGGGATGGGAGACAACGAGGAGAAGCCTTGCAGCTTTATAAAAGGTGTGATAATTTTGATAAATTTGAGTCTCTTTGACCTAAAATCTGATAATGACCTCGATGAATCTAGCTTGAGGCAATAGAGAGGCAAAAGAGGGAGACATCAGCGCGCATAGATCGAGCATGAGCTAAATTTTTGACCTCCTAAAACATGCACCTTGTGGGCATGTATGCATTTTATATTTTCTTGACAACGTAACTACTCATTGCTTGGTTGTTCTCCTAACCATTTAACAGCTGTTAATGAGTTCATCCATTGCATAATTGGTGAATGAAATTATTTTTTTCTTGCACTGTCTTGAACAGCTGTATAAGCACATGGATAATTTAATCTAAGTGCCCCCCGGTCACGTTTACTACTAGCTTTGATTCCTACACTTTTGTTGCCATTGGTAAAACTTAGAGTGAAAAGAAGAAACTATTGATACAATGTGGAGAAAACATATTTTATATATTTTTTATTATTGTATGCAATCATTATTATCCATAAAATTTTTGCGCTCTCACACGAGTGGTCTAAATGCGTCATGTGACTGAATATGCCCAGCTAAACTGAGGAATATTCAAGTGATATCCCCTAGTTTTCAAAAGACCCTGCGTCTTGCAAAAAATATTTAAGGATAATAAACGTAATAAATGCAATAGCCTCCACTTGCTTTTTAAAATATGCTCATATAGTAGTCCTTGGACATAATTTTATCTGTTCCTCGAAGCTCACAGTTTTCTTCAAGCTTTGCTCCTTGAGAACTGTTCACCTCTTGGAACAGATCATGTCCACGGGCAAATACCTGGAGTGAGCATATTTCTGTGCCAAATGGAGGCTATTGTTCATATATTCTATGTGTACATTGTGTGTGTTCTCAGCTGGAAATATCAGTTCATCCCCTGAACACCACCGTCACCATCACTCTGGAGGCCATGAACACAGCCATGGTGCCAATGAACATGGACATACCCATGAATTTATGTCCAATCCTGGCTTGTGGACAGACAGAGATAAAATAGTCAATAGGTCTGACTGGAAACAAGTAAGGTTGAACTGGCATTGTTCCACATGTATTTTATAAATTTTTTCCATGCAAAATGTAAGGTAATGATGAAGTCTATATGAGTATAATGGCCAATAATTAGGGAGGGGGGAGAGCAATGACCTTGTGAAAAGGTTGAGGATGGCCATCGTCTCCCTTAGGGGTGTAAGTAACAATTTTTTTTCTCATTTATGGTGTTCAGGATGGAATGTCACTATTTTTACTTGCAAGATATCTTGTAAGCTTGGACTGGAGGAAATAATAAACAAATGCTGTCATGCCCATTTTAAAGTGGTATCTTGTGGGGCCAAATAAAGAGCCTATTTGTCACACCCAGATTTTGGGGGTTCTACATGTTCCAACTAGAATCCCCAACACTTTCACATGGGAGACCCCTGGTCCCTTCAGGAAATACTTTTTGTACATTGAAGTAGTTAGGAGTGTATAAACTCCCCTGGGATTGGGGGCTAGCCCATCACGTTTTTTTTTATTTATTTTTATTTGTCCGCCCAAAAGTAAACGTCTTTCCTAACCAGTTTTTACTGGTCCCTAAAGCGTATAGGAGGTTCCATGTCTGGTATTTTCTTTTTGCCACCAAATTCTCAGAAATATTGTGAAAGTTATCAGTAAGTAGAATTTTTCTAAGTTTCAGGTAATTGGTGAAATTATTTTTCATCTTTCAGCGTGCATTTACTGTTGGTATTGGCGGTCCAGTTGGTTCTGGTAAAACTGCATTGACCCTTGCTCTTTGTAGACATTTAAGGGATTCTTATGGAGTGTGTGTTGTTACAAATGATATTTTTACCAGGTAAGTGGAGACTTAACATACTGTAGAAGCTTAAGTCTGATTTATTGTTAACAATGATCATTAAATAATAGTTTTAAAAGTTTTTTACTGTCATTTTCAGGGAAGATTGGGAATTTCTTGTCAAAAATGAGGCATTGCCAGAGGAAAGGATGAGGGCGGTGGAGACAGGAGGTTGTCCCCATGCCGCTATTAGAGAGGTATGACGACAATAACAAGTGAAAGATGATTGAAACTCGACTGCTTTTAAGTTGATGCTATGCTCCCCACAGTTACACAAAAATAAAAACAACCTGTTCACACAATTCATAGTTATCACTTTCCTCTTGATTGGAAAAAAATAGTATCATGCTGTCAAGCTCTTTGATGTCTGAAGTTTATTCTTTTCAATAATGTCTTTTTTATTTTAATTAATATTTATTTAAATAGGATTTTTCACTGAACATGGAGGAAGTAAAAGACTTGACTAGAACATTCCAGCCAGACTTGGTGATAATTGAGTCGGGTGGAGACAACCTCGCAGCTAATTACAGCAGGGAACTGGCAGACTATATCATCTACGTCATTGATGTCGCAGGTTCGGAATATTAATTTGTACATTTTACACACACACAAAAAAGAGTTGAGTACTGGAATTCTATTGCAAACAATATTTTAATTAATAATTTAATACACAGTCAGAGGATTGATTTTGAAGATTGCATAACAATGAAATCAATGGTTAACTGTTGTGCTATGCTTTCTCTCCTTCTAGATTAGGTTTGTGACTTGTTAGTAATAAATTCAGAAGTAACATTTAACGTTACTTTTTAATCCAATTTAGGAGGAGACAAAGTTCCTCGCAAGGGAGGTCCAGGTATCACACAGAGTGACTTGCTAGTCATTAACAAAACTGATCTGGCTGATGCTGTCGGTGCAGATCTCAAGGTATAATTGCAATTTTATGGTCTATGTACTCTGACTTGCTTGAATACAATGAGTAATAGGTCTGCAATGCATGTAGAGTGCTATAATTTTACGTTCCATTAAGAATCTAATTTCCTTTCCTCCCAAAAACACAGTTGCTGATTTTCATGAAACNGCTAATTTTTAAGGTCAGATTTGAAATACAATTTTGTGGCCAACAACAATGTACAGCTCATTACGATGACATTTATTATACATTGCGGATTGTACATTTTTATGATATTCATTTTCATAAGTTTAAAACTTCCGGTCGAGGCTTTCTTAAATATGGATGGCAAATTTTATCTACAGTGTAACCATAAAATATGACACTTAAATATTAAACCACTATTCAAATCATGTTATTGGTGGTTTTCTAGAAGTTGTCAATGAATGAAGTTAAAAAAACAAGCGTGCATAACTTTGCACAGCAAACTGCATGCAACATGACAATATATTCTCATTTAACAAGAGGATCTCCTCCAAGTCTTGGTATGATATCTTGAATGACAGTTCTAAAAAAGTGGCAGGCCTGAAAATAAAGGACACAGACTGTCAACTCATTGCCTCATAGGATAATTTCTAACAGTATGCAAGTTAGTAATTTCTAACTTAGTCAAGAAAGCTGATTGGGGAGTTTTGGCTAGGCTCGATTTCCAGCCGTTTTGTGAGCCCATGTTCCTTGCCCCACACCACTAATTTGCCACGGGTAATTGTGTGTCTCCGTGGTACTGAGATGACACACACTATCAAACAACAACTGGACTCCCAAAATGGCTGGAAATCGAGCCTAAGGTTTGGCCAGAAATGCCAATCTTGTACATATGTTGGTTACTAGATTTACCAAGTCTTTGACTGGTGACTATTGGGCGAAGAGATACTGATCCCTGCTTTGAACAATGTGTTAGAAGATTTGCAAACAAAGAGTTTAGTTGCATGGTGGCTATTGATTCAACCTAGGGTACAAGTTGTCAATCCCAGCATGACTTATGAGAAATAAGTTTTGATTTAAACTTGAATAATTCTTAAATTACTCCAAGCTGTCAACCTAAAATGGTCTCTCACCACAGCCTTATCAAGTTTTGCATACCTGTTCTGTGCTCTGTGTAGTTATAAGCTTGACAACAACACCATCACACAGTGTGGGATCTATAATACTAGCATAGGCAATCACATCTTTCCTTGCTGGGCTCATGTCATTACATTCTATGAAAAAAAATGATGTATCAATATTGTATTGAGATTAATCACAGAAACAGACACCAGTCTTGGACAAAACTGGGTCCACTTAATAAATTGTTGTCTTGAAGTTGCTGAACAAAATGATAGCCTACACATGCTCTTTTCCCACCCCCTGAGGAAAAACAGGAGAGAGGGAACATTTATGAAGAGCCACATGTAATTGATAAGTCTTACTTGTGAGTGTGCAGACTCTCTCCTTTATTTTCTTCTTGATTTCTTTAAAATATGGACCAATGAAAACACAGCTTCCTAGCACCTGAATGTCAAGAAGATTAAAATATATTTTTTTCAATTAACCAACTCCTGCTGTTAAAATTCTCACTATCACCTAGCATCATAGGCCTGCAATACATGCAAAAGACTACTGACAGCTTTATAGCACTGATGCAGGGTAGGTAAAGTCTCTTGTAATATGAGCCAAGTAGTTCATCAAGCAAGTGTGTATCTCCAGTGTCAGTAGTATCACGTGACTGGGAATATTTCTACTCTCTTCTGGATAGGACACTAGTCCATCACAGGGTTATCTCCAGCATAAATTCGCCGGTACCATTAATACAACAGGGTGTAGAGAGGCACTGAGATCTAAAGCGTCTTGCCCAAGAACACAAGGCAACTTCCCTGGCTAGACTTGAACTAGGACCACTTAATCCAGAGACAAGTTCATTCACCATGAGGCCAATTTAAAGATCCTCACACTTCTTTTAAAGGTTATGCCCCCAGGATGAGTATGAAGCAAGTTACGTAAAAGAAAACTGAAGCCACATGAAATTTTTTTCATGGAGCCAGCCTTTTTTTCATCGTGTTTCACTTCTCACTGACTTGATTTCCATGACAGAGCTATAAGTAAAACACTCTCCAGATAATAATGAATTCTGAGAAGGCTTTTTTGAGGACTTTAAATTTTACCTCCAGTTTTGGACTACTTGCATTTACTTGCATTTTACTTGCAATAAGGTATCTTTATGGTGAAAAGCTGACATAAAGTATTGTGAATGTAAAAGTTTTAAAAGTTTTTACCATAGCACTATGCATGGATTCTTTCAGTGAAAGGCAACTGTTTCTACCGTTGAGGCAGACTGAATCTCCAAACACCAACTTTCCATCCACAAAGATTCTGTTGTGACTCTTGTAACTGCATATGTATCAAGACAGGAAGTTATTAAACACTATTTAATTAATATCGAGATTAATAATTAAATAATAGATTTTCCATAACCTGTTTATACTTATACCTAGTCATATCCCAGACTTCTCCAAGAGCCATGCGTCCAGCTGTAAACCAATCGAGAATCACTACGCTGCCATTTGAAGTTAGTTCAAAGTCCTAAAAGACACCAATTAAAACAGTCATGTGAATCATATTGTTTGAATTCATGGTGGGATCAGACCAATAAATATTGAGGGAAGAAAATGGTTTTGGTGGTGGTGTTGATGATAATGATGATGACAATGATGACAATGACAACGATGATGATAAACGACGATGACGATGATGAAGGAAGAAATTAAGAGCAGCTAACCTGTTTTTGATCATAGATGGCATTTTTAAAGCAGACCACAGGATCTGGAAGAACTGCCAGTAGTCCACCATCGGCAACCAGGCCTCTTAACCCTTGCTGAGTAGCCAGGCCCTCTTCAGAGTTGTAAACCTGAAAATATATCATTTAAGTAGCAGCTGTGAATAAGAAAGTTTAAATATCTACAAACATGAATTTTACCTGGTATTTGTGGTTATAATGAGTGCGTGAGCAAGCAGGCAAGTAAGAAAAGAATGAGTGTAAGTAAGGAATGTGAAATTTAAGCATACTGCTATTTCCTTGACTGTGTGTTTCCTTGTAATTTGTTATATTGTGTGGTCTCAGTTACCTTTGTTGAGGCCTGAGTGGTCACTACCACAGTGCAGTTCTCTCCAACCTTAACATCAACAGCTACATTATCTCCCTCAACAAGCCCACCACCAAATGTGATGATGTACAGCCACTGACAGGTAGGCACTGAAGATGCAAAGCCTGGTACAAGAAACTTTAACTGTGATAAAAAAAAAAGAGCAGTTTCAAAAAGAGAAGATCAGAGCTGATCTTGATGTAAATCTTAGATGAGAAAATCATATCAAGCTGCAGCCATTAAATGAACTAGCACATTACCAGCATGCCGGTCAACATACTACTAATACCTTGACTGAACATTGCAAATATATGTCCCAGGTAGAGTGGGGGGGGGGGGGGGGTCTCTCATATAACAAAGAACGGGATGTTCATTGTACCTTTTAGAGGTTTTAGTACCTCTTCAGGTGTTCAGCCTAAAAAGGTCCCCAGCGGGAGCTTTCATGGTACCTTTAAGGGTATTAAGCCAAAAAAGTCAGTGTCAATTGATGTGTTGTTTTAGAATTGGTACCTCTTAGGAGGAAAAAATTCAAGCCACGCCCACAAGACAGGATCTCGGTACCTCTTAGGGGTTCTTTTCAAAAATTTCTGACCAGCACCCCTGTCCTTTTTATATAGGAGTTCCTCTCCCCCCTGGAATATACGTGTCATGTCTATCATGGGCACATTTGAGAGGCAGTGGGAACTTAATTTGTTTTTAATAATTGTATTAGTATGACAGTCATGACAAACAAGTTTATATATTTCAAAGGGCTTGTTGAGTAACAATTCTTACTGGATAAGTGTATTGTAGTTGTGTGTTTGTGACTTTGAGGTTCTGAGAGGGTTCACCATCATTGTTTGCAACTGGACAGCAGCAAAACTCTGCAAAACCCTTCACTGCTTTTTGTCTGTTTGGTTGACCACTGTGGACACCAAGTTCACCATCCTCAGATAACATAGATCTGAATTATTTCCCTCTAACTCATATACTTCAGAACTGTCTACTCCAGTCCATGAAATTATGATCTCCTGTGTATAGTGAATAAGAACTAAATTAATGAAATTCAATTAACTATCAGTGAATGTAGGAAGTAGAAATGTTATTGGGAGTAGAGCGGTCCCAGGGGAGTAATGAGAAGGAGGGGGGGGGGGAAGCAGGCAAGGAAAACAATCGTACATGGTATGGAAATTATGTTCACATTCTTCACAGAAGAAGTTTTGGGAAATATCAATTTTTAATCAAGTTTGACATGTCAAAGATGCAGTAGGGATAAAAGCTTAAATGTGATGTCTTCAACTTCATTGACCCTACGTTCTAGTATTAAGCTTAACCCTACTTAAGCTTAACTTAACTGCAGCCGGAGCTGGAGGGGGGAAATTATTCAACTCATTTGAATCAAAAGTTTAAGTCGTACGTACATATTTTTGCCCATTTTCTTCACACTATCTGCGATCTAGCTTGCATATATCGCTTTTTCAAGGCAACCCTCACACTAAAAAGATTTACTTACCCTGCAAATAAATGCAAAACGGTAAATTCAATTCACTCCCGCTCGTCGCACTTCTCTCTTGTCCCGGCTCAATGAACCCGCAAAATGTTTAGGGACAGCAAAAGCATGCATACACGCCGTGAAAACCTCATTCTTGGAACAACAATTTCCCCTACGGACTCTAGATGAGAGAGACACAAATACGTTTTGAGAAAAAAAGATAAAAAAAAAATCAAATTTCAAGAAATTATAACATTTTTACACAATAATTTCTTAAAAGAGAAAGCACAAATTCCCCTTGATTTAGACAAAGGTTACTTTGTGATTCTTACTAAGACATTTGTACCCCTTCCCCACTCCGGCATGGAATCTCCTACTACCTCTCCCACGAAAATCATTCGTCTCCAGTTTTCGCGCGTTACTCTGCGTTACTCCGAAAGAAGAGGCAAAGATGGCGGATGTCGACCCTAAAAAGTTGTCCTGGTAAATTGCAAAGCTTAGGCGTGTAACAGTTTCGCTCTCAAAGTATCATACATTCAACACTTTTCAAAATGGTGCGAGTACTTCTTTTTCATTACTTCAAATCTCAGCGAGTCTTCTTCGATTCTTACCAACCAACTACGCTCGCTTCAACGAAGGACTATCTCTTCCTCGCGACTGGGGAAATGAAAGTCTTTGTCTACTCGCTGGAGCAGCCGAACTTTCCTCTTTTGTGCCAGTTTCCGACCATGTCAAAACCAGTCAGGCTGATGTGCAACGAGAAAGCAAAATGTGTCGTGACAATCGAGAGTTCAAGTAAGCGACGGAACTCAAGAGCGGGCAGTAAAGCAAAGGTTTGCAAAAATGCTCGTGCTTACTTCAACTGGTTTAAAGCTAATCCCGACGAGGCCGTGCGCACGTATGTGGCTGGACATTCCCGTTTTCAAAGGCAGGAAGCTGAAGTAAATTGTAGAGCTTTTCTGGCTTTGGAAATTCCAACTCAGTTTAATGTGAACTCTGTCAGTTGTTGTCCAACAAGTGGAAATATCGCCATTGCAAGCGAGAAAAAAGTAAGCGTGTTTAGGTGGAACGGTAATCTGTCATCTGATGTCTCCGAGACTAGCGCTGCATCACAAGACTTGGAACACTTTCTGGATATTGAGCCCAGTATGGTAGTGAAAGAGGTGGTACTGGCTGACTCATACCTGGCCTTCAGGTCTAATTTAGATGTCCAGATCCTCAAGTTTGTGTTTACATCTGAAGGAGAGTCCGCGTCATCGAGCGGAAGTGGGAAAAGTACAAGTTCTGGTGTGGTTTTGCAAACTAGGTATTAAGTTGCATCACTGAAAAAACATCTGTGCATGTCTTTATATTGTAACAGGTGTTTCGCATTGATGTGCCTTGCAATGGCCTGCACCTTCATCTGGACAAAGATGACCTGATATACATGCGTCAGCTACTCTCTCCTCCACAGAGGTTCAAACATTTGTTATAGAAATCCGGTGTACATGGTGAGTGCAGCTTCAAAGTTGAATGGAGCAGACGGTGAATCTTGCTCCCGCACCTCCTGTCGTTGCCCTCCACATAGTCCTGTGCCTGCACTCGCATTGTGTGGGGGATTCTCCCACCCAAAAAAATTCTTTGAACCTCATTGGAGGAGAAAGCATCAGTTACCCTAGGATTCATTTTCTTCTTCAATTTATAATCACAATATGTACTAGATTTATGTAGCTAACTCTTCTCTCTTTTCTGATTCTCTGTCTTATTCTTATTCCCGGATATTTTTCCTGCCACAATCTAGGAATATGGAGCAGGTGTCTGTTCTGTGTATTTCAACAGGTAATTATGGTGAACAGAGGTCAATAAGCAAACTGGCTTCATCTGATACCTTTGTTTTGTTGCTAGATCAACAACTGGGAGGGCATTTGAATCCCTGCTACAATGTACAGAACAAGTTACTGGAGAACAAGAAAAGGATGACGACTGTGTTTTGTGGTCATTTGATGACTGTTCACCCGTATCGAGTTTACCTCAACAACTCCCAGTGAAATCAGATGAAGAAGTCATGTTCCCAACCATTAGAAAAGAACAAGTGTTTAAAGATTTCTTACCCGATCCTAAGGAAGTACTGGGACCTGTGTCAGAGGTACCTGGACACCCTGTCACGGTGGCATTTGGGGGACTGTATGGTATTGGTTTTGCTGTAGATGGATGCATGTTAAAAGTGAAAGGAGTCACCATGCTGTATCGCAGATTCAGAGTGGAGCAACTTAGCAATGATGGCAATGACTCAGCAACACTTCACACACTACAGCTTCTCCCAACTTACACACAAGGTAACAGAAAATTTCTGGATCTCTTTTGACTATGTCACATTGTCAAATGCTAGGAGAATGAATGCAAAAATTAATGTTAACATGAGGTATTAATTGTTTCACGACATTCACTTAATTGGTCGTTGGGTTTCTTGTCTTGATCCTGGCACTTGTTAACTTGAAATAATTTTTATATTGAGTATTGTAAGACATCAGGGGTAGTTGAAGGTGCAGTGTCCATTGTGGCAGAACACTTGGGTATGGAAATTTTCTAAGATCATAGACCTTCTACTAGTAAGTTATCATATTTTATATCTGTACATTGTTTTGGGAGAAGCAGTGACCAAAATGTTAGCACGCTGAATTTCAGATTAAGCAGTCTCCAATCCAGCCCTGGCCAGGGTCATTGTGCTATGTTCTTGGGCAAGATGCCATTGTTCTCAGAATATCTCTCTCCACTCAGAGGAGATAAAGACTGGCCCAGTGTACCAATAGGCTCAAACGTAGACTTAAGTTTTCCCCCCTACCTATGATGGATTTTCATTGTAAACAGGTGCATGTAGGAATAATGTTGTGTTGTATCTTTGTAGGAATTCCTCATTTAAAGGAGAAGCAGCGATCTCCATTGGTTCCAAGAAATGTTTCTGATCCTACCCTTTGTGGAATGAGTTGCCTCATCTCTGGTCCTAAAGAGGGTTATGTGTATGATGTATTTAGCACTTGCAAGCTCATTTCCTATTACAAGTACAGCTGTGATACGATCAGTGTTTCAACTTGCAATGGTCTTCTTCATGCGATAACCAGGCAAGGAATTGAGACTTATACTGTGCGCATGTACGCAGCTGCATCAGATTGGATCAGAAAGAATGCAGCTGTAGACATTCAGCTTGATGAACAATTGCTTGAGGAGCAGAAGGTAACAGGCAGCCTTGCTGATCACGAGGAAAACCTTATTGAGGTGAAGAACAAGAAGGGAAAAGGTGACAAAGATTTGGACAGTGAGAATGCCAATGATTATTCAACCAGTTGTCATGCTGAAACTGAATCAATTCCAGATTCTGGCTCTGCAGGGAGTGCGCAGAGTGAAGAATCATTACTGACAGATGCGTTGAATCACGAAGAACGAGAAAATACAAAGCCAGAACCTCGAAATGACAGTAACACTTGTGCCGCAGAGGATGTGCCACATGCAGCATGCTCTACTGTTCGTTCAAACAATGACCAATCAGCCTCTATGGTTGTAGATTCTCCTGAAGGAAACACACTTCCATCTAGACCTGGAATCTCTGTGGACATTTTGTCAGGTAACAAGGACGTTGACTCATCATCCTCAGATGTCAAACTGACTGTTGATAACTCAGGAAGAACCCTAGTGAGATTTACTTCTGGAAGTAGATCAACACCTCCAGCTCTGTCCAATAAAGCGAGATTGCCTGACATTGAAGAAGTTCACGATCAAGGTGATGCCAATGCAGAGTTAACTGGCAGTCTACTTACAAGAGCCTTTGCTATAAGCAATCCATTGAGTCGTAGCAACATTATCGGTGCTAAAGTAAGTGACTCAGTCTATCAAGCTGCTGTTAGCAGACTTTCCAGTGATTGCGGATGGACGTTGCCTGTTTTTGATCTTGAAAGCTTGAGACAGGTAGGTTTAAATGATAGTCTCTGGAGTGCTAACTTTTTAAATCTGTAGTTGGTCACATTTTCCACGTTAAANAAAAAAAAAAATTTGGTCAGAAGTCAAATGGAAAAGACCCATTTCGGTTCCTTCTAACTGGAATATTCGGGACCACCTCTGGAGGTGGTCCACTTTGACCAGTCGGACTGGTCTGACCAAAAATTTACCATTCCATTTTGACAAAGAGGTCCACTGCTCTACTTCTTTACACCTGTGCTGGGAATTCAGAAAAGGGATTAAGAAATTGTAAGAGCCATTCCTCTTGGATGGCCCGGTTTGATCGGAAAATGTCATTTCATTTACTTGGGTATTCCCACTGGTCTCTGACCAGTCAGTCTGGCATAATGGAAAGCACCCACTGATGGGCGGATGAATGGAGAGGGAGATGGACTTCCTACAGACTGAATGGTTGTAACTGTTGGATCAACAAATTTCATGTATAATAATATTAGCAACAGACTGATAGCAACCACTGACAGAAAGCATTATAGGGTGACAAGTTTCCCTGTACTTGGGACAATTTGGTAAAATATGTATCAAATCCACATAATTTATGATTATCCAGAAACAAAAGAACTCAATGTTCAAACACTTTGTAGCAATAAATTCATTCTTATTTCTCAGTCTTTTCTTTTAGTTTTAAACATAGATCACTAAAACCTCAACATGATCAAGGAGAGAGTGCCAGTCCTGACTGGAGGGTGTTTGTCCTACAGAATATGGATGCCACTCAGCTTTACAAAGCTGTGGTACGTTGTGCTTTGTTTTGTGCTGACTGCCATTAACCCATAACACATTAAAGTAGTTATGTTGGGAATCAGAACCTTGTTGTTTAAATACACCTAATGGTAGTGGGTCTTTAGTGACCAAGATCAAGCAGTCTCACTCACAGCCCTGGCCATGCAGGATCATTGTTTTGTTTTGCGTTCTTGGACAAAGATACACAGAAATACAAAGATACAATGTACATGTTTGAGGTACACTGTAGTTAGCTTTTAAATTGGGGCATTTTGGGTTAAATATTTTCTTATCTGGTTTTCATGCGGTTCCTCTATCCTTGTTGAATTTGAATTTAGAGATGTTGGTTTTTAGTGGAGGGAGGAAAACTGGTCGGAGTAATGCGTGAACCAACAACAAACTTAACCCACATATTTCTTTGCAGATGCCATTAGCTAGTCGTTGTCAGAAGCATAATGCACAGGCATATCACCACCTTGTGTGTGAACAGCATTTTTTCCTGAGGACACTGTGCTTGGCGGATTCCACTGCTAAAGAGGACAAGAAAAGAAAGAAGCTGAAAAAGCTTCTCTGTGAGTCTGCAGCAAATTTGGCAGAGTTGTTTGCTAGGTCAGTCTTAGATACAAATAGCATTTCTCTTATTGTAGAACTCTTATTCATGCATTTTCTATCAGAGTAAGTTTAGTGTAAGTCAACACACACAGGTCTACACAAGTTATGTACCCATTCCCCAAATGGTGGTTTTTGGACCAGATACAATTCTTTGCTATAATAGACGACTCTTTTAGGTGCTGAAGTTTAAAGATTCAGTGTTGAAGGGCGAGGCAAATGTTTTGCAGAATTCCTAGTGCTTACAAGGACAGCTTGGACTATTTTGCTCTCTCTGGACTCACTCTGCGAGACATTGTAGACAGGGCAAGTAAGTCTGGCCAGGCTGTTGGAGAGGGTGTCATCTACTACTTGGATGAAAAACTGCTGGGATCAGATGAATCAGTTAATGTGTCTGAGGTGGGGAATTTTGTTGTTCAGACACATTTAATGCACAATACAATTCTTTTTGTTTCAAATTGGTGCATAATTTCTGGACGTACCCAGTTTATTTGTTTCCTCGATTATGAAAGATGCAGTGGCCTAACACATGTTACTTCACATTGAACATTCCATGTTCAAACCCTGTCTGGGGTCATTATGTTGTCGCTTTTTAGCAAGATACCTCACTTCAGGTACCCCTACCTACCCTGGTTCATTTATGTGTACTAGTGAATTTAATTCTGGGTGGTAGGGGTGCTGTCAGTAGTCCTGTGATGGACTGTTATCTCACCCAGGGGGGAGTACAAACACTTCTAATCCATTTAGTTCGTCAAGTGCTAACAAAAGTACTACAGGGCTACATAGAGGCAGTAGAATAGAGTACAGACAGAAAAACACTACTGAGAATTTTCAGACTTTTTTGGGACACATTTGACACTACAAATTATATATTGTGCATCTTTATTTTTTGCAAGGAAGGCAAAAGAATCTTTTAATTATCTTTATTTGAGTGTTGTGTTTTCTCCCAGCAGAATACAGCCAGGAAAATTTTCAAGCTTTATTCCAGAGGGAAACCAGGTCGAGTTGCAGAGATTATTCTCATGTCATCCCTCAGCGGATTTTCATCAGGTTAGTGTAGTTAAATTGTCTAGTAAAAAGTACTCAACTTTCAATTTTTTTTCATAGATTGATCTTGCTCTCACTTTTTTGAAGAATTCAGAATTATTGGAGGACTGAATTATTTCCTCGTGTAGAACATTTGTACTACTCTAGGATGTATTCCTAGTCCACCGCAGTTTAACCCTCACAGTTTGTCTGGTTGTCTTGGCAGAACTGTGAAGGAATATACATGTAAGAACAAAGTGGCTTGTTCAGGAACACAACAAAATTACCCCAGTCAGCACTTGAATCCAGACGGCTTCATCCAAAATTCAATAAATNCTCTCACAGTGCCTCTCTCCACCCAGGTGTATAAATGGGTACGGGCAAACTTAATGCTGGGAGTAACCCTGCGATGGACTAGCATCCCATCCAGGGGGGAGTAGAAATACTCCTAGTCGCGTCATGCTACAGAAACCGGAATAAGCTCTGGCCTGATGGGCCACTTGGCTGGTATGCAGACTTTACCGATTATCCGGATTTCTTGATTATCCGGACTTTTTTTCTAGTCCCAATTTTGTCATGAATATTTATTAGTCATGATCAAGATCCGTAGCAATATTCTTTTTAGAATGAGAGCATTGAAAAGTGCAGTCAAAAGCCAGTTTGTTTTGCTTTTAAAGAGCAAAAGCAGCCTTGCCCGTATCGTAACTAGTGAAGAACACTCGAATGAGTTCTGATTGGCTCAGAGTTGAGTGGTTCAAGATGTAGACCATATTGTTTTCCAAACGATTTGTAAAAGTGTTGTTTCATGATTAAATGCTGCTTTATTTAAACAGTTTTGTTCTTCATTAATATTCATATTTTCGATTATCCAGACCCTTGTTTATCCAGACTATTTCGTATAGTCCCAATGAGTCCGGATAATCGAGGTTACACTGTACATTTTATACATTGTATCATGACCAATTTGTTGTCTTTTAGACACAGCATTAGTTGCCCTGGAAGAGCTGAAGAAGACTCGGAAAGCAGAAGGTGCTTTATACAGGTTAGTCTTTTAACCACCTTCAGGTTGCTACTGCTTATTTTACACTTACATGTAAGACTGAGATGAAGCTTGTTCTTGTGTAATCAGAATTGATTTTTTTTTTTCTTTAAATCTCAGAGTTTTACCAAAGTATGAATGTTTAGTGATGCAGTGCTCATCACACTCAGTAAGCAATGAAACTTGCTGGTAGTTATTTGAAGAAATATTTTATATTTATTTGATATTATTAATGTTTTATTTTGCACCTTACTGTGTTTTAGTCTGTCGCCACTGGATAACCTTGTGCGAGCAGTGTTGTATCTTCATCAGTGTGAACTTGATTATGCCCAATCAGCCCTGTTCTCCATCCCTAAGGTCGGTGTAAAATATAGATTACAATGTTTCGAGAGGAACCACATATTAAGCTGTAGCTGGTTTTCATGAAGGCCCTCTTTCCTGGTTGAATTGGATTTGGAATGTTAGTTTAAACCACAGTAACTGGGAAAATTCTAGAGTTTCCATAGAATTGAGCTACATCAGGACTTGTGCATCTTGAAAAGTTTAGGCTAAATTTTTCAAGTTCGTCATTTATAATCCGTGTCAATCTTTTCCATCCGTTATCATCCTTGTTCCTTTATGGTTTATTAGTATCTCTTGAGGTAATTTTGTGGATGGCCAAAATAATTCAAAAACGGTGACTGAGCTCTTTTATTAGCAAATTTCTTTTACTGTTTCAGTCTTGAATTATAACTGCTTTTCTCTCTTGAATTTTGAATTGGATATTACAAATTAAAATGTTTCAGTTAAGTGTGTATTTACTATTGCTTTTATTTAAAATAGAAAAAGCTTGTTGAAGTTTTGACTGCTCATTATTACTTGCTACATGAAGATGGTACTCGCTTCACCCCTCTTGCACAGGTAATAAACCTATTCATTCAATAAAATTCATATCAGCTATTGAAGACTTAGTATTGACCATTATGCGTTTTGTGAGTCCGTTATTGTTTTTCTTAACATAATAGCAAGGTTTCTATTGTTTTCCAATACTGCACAGCTGGCAAACTGGGTCTTAGATGAAATCAAGGGAAGCTAATAATTATATTTATAACAAGATATAAATAGTATATTATATTATTTTGATTTTTAAATTCTTAATTAAATTATTTACCTTTGGGATTAACTCATTTGTTCAAGAGGAAACTTCAAATTGAATCTGCCATTTATGTGGTCAACAAAACAGAAAGTCGTAAATCTTATAACAATATTATATGGAGATATTAAATAAATAAAGGGTTAAGCCTTCTGGGTGATGTCTTTGCTTTTTTTTTTTTTTTTTT